ACAGAAAGGGAATATTGCTTAGAACATCCCCCAGATATATGATCCATTAATCCACATAAATAACAGAAATTCAGAAGTCGTTCATATTGGAGGCTGACTACCACAAGTTCCCCTTTTTCGCCGCAAAGGCTTGTTAACGTTAACAGCAGCCCTAAGTCGAAGCACATCTCCAAAGACTCTCACGTCGTCATTGCGTGTACCTACTTTAGATATTCCTATCATGTCACCAATATGGTTTGCCATAGCTCTGTTTCTCTTGGAGAAAGGTAAACCTAATACATGAACATAAAAATCATACCAATCCAGACTAACTCGTTTGGGGTTCTCCTCCACTTCAATTTTTTGCAGCACAATTAGGTTTTTATCAAAGCACCAAGGTCCCTCTTCCATAGCCCTTCGCCGATCTATCTCATGCTTAAAAATGAAAATAAACCGCCCTTCTCCGATTTTATCCACCTGGATTCCATGGACTGGACTCCACACCTTTGACATAGTTCGCTCCAAAATAAATCTCTTTTCGTATCAAACTGCGCCCAACCAATATGAGATCTGTATTAAGCTCCATATTTGCCCAAGCTTCTATAGGGGGCTTACTTTCAATTTCCTCGTCATATGTTAGTTTAAGACTAGATCTGAGGCGAGTAAGGACGTCATCCATAGCCGTAATTCGCCTCAACAATGTAGAATTCTCTTTTTTTTTATGAAAGACAATCCAATTTTCAGTGTATGCTTCTAGGGTAAAATACACTTTGCACCCCTGTACTATGAAAAATGTCGCATTCACCCCCCTTAGTATCGAAAACTACAAACAACCCCTTACTTTTAACGGTCAATGGTCAAGAAATTCACACGGTTAAAAATCAACATGCATTTACGTTTGTACCCTCTCACTTTGCTAGAATAACCCCACCAATATTTCCCTATCTTCCCTATTGTCAGCAGCCATTCTTCCCCATCCCCTCCGCCATCTGCCATCTCCGCCGCCACCATCTCCGCCGCCTTACCCACTCACTCACTCCGTCTTACTCTTCTTTCTCCTCCGGTCCATCCATCCCCACTACCATCACTAACCGCGAGCAGTGCGACGGCGCGGAGTGACGTCGGCAAATTGGCGGCACAAATGGTGGTTGTCATAAATCTGAGAATGAGTAGTAATTGTAAGAAAGTCAACGGCTCGCTGTTTCGAGATGACGGCTCGGTGCAACCAAGGGTCAGCGCAATTAGAGCCGAAGTTAGCTTAGATGGCTGCTCGGGGGAAAGGAATGACGGCTTAGAGGGAGGGAGATAGCGGCTCCAAAAATTGTTTATTCTGGATTTTGCGAAATTTTCTTGGGCACAATTCTGGAAATTTTTTTGTTGATTCAGGAATGAACTTTTTTTCTTGGGTCAATTCTCAATTAATATTTTTGTTGGTTTTGGTAAATGAGTTTCCTTGATTTGTTCAATTTATTGATGTCCCCTTGTTGATTAATATTTAGAAAGATAGTCAATTGATCTGGTTAATGGGTACAACTTTCTTTTTTTTAAAGAACATTATAAACATGAAGAAATATAAGTAATTAAAATATTTTTTCTAACTTTCACACGATTTTTTTTTGGTATTTTACAAACTTATAATTTTTTTAATAATTTCGTATTTAATATTCTGCGGAATTATCATAAATGAAATATTTTATTAGTTTTAACTATATTTGCCAATTTTTCGAAACATTTAGTTCATAATTATAATTGAAATTGGTTTTTGATAATTTTTTGAGTCTGTAACTGATTTTTTTTTTTTTTTTATAATATTTATGAGATTTTTATAATAATGGTTTTCTTTATATGGAATAGTAGGCTAAAAGGGGTAAAATTGTCCATAAAATTTGAGAAAATGTGGTCAACTTGCCACATCAGCTTTGACTAACGGAATGGTTAACAGTAGGGGGTTGTTTGTAGTTTTCGATACTATAGGGGGGTGAATGCGACATTTTTCATAGTACAGGGGTGCAAAGTGTATTTTACCCTATGCTTCATTTTCTCATAAAGAGAGAGAGAGAGAGAGAGAGAGAGAGAGAGAGAGAGAGAGAAAATCAAATCTCTTATTCTTATGTCCAAATCACAAGGAAAACTCCCCTTGTTGCTGATTCTTGAAAAATCAGCAGCTTATCCCCTTGAAAGATGGCACGATTTACCGTCCACCCTTGGCATAAACCTTATGGAGTTTGGCTTAAGGCAAACACTGACCCTTCTTTCTCAATGAGTAATGAATGAACGGCTAGACTTATCCATCTTGGTCGCTGAAGCTTTTGCCATTTGTGAAGCATGCTACTTATGTGCTAAAGAAAACCTCCACTTTGTCATCTTAGAGTCTGACTTACTCATCGCCATCAACTCTATCATTCATCAATCCTTCAATTAAGCGGATTGATGAAAATTCAAATTTATTTCTAGAAATGCCAACTTTGCTTCCTTTAATCTTCTTAAATGTGTTTTTTCTTCTAAGTGGATTGGTTTAGTTTGCTCCAACTCTATTCCAAATTCTTGTTTTTGTGATGGGGACAACGAAAAAAAACAAAAACAAAAACCTCATTGATCAACTAAATATCAGGAAAATGTTATATTTACCACAATACCACTTTCCCGATATTTATAAAATCTCAACTCTCATATTCTTATCTGACGACAGTGAATTTGATTACATCACCATCATGAATTCAACAATTAATGGCAAACTACTGAGCCTCAGATTAAATGTCTAACAAGAATACATGAGATCATGATCATGCCTAATAATAATATAGGCGACGATTCCATATTCTGAGTATTTGTTCCCACATCATTTCACTCGAATTAATTCCCAAAACATTGACCAACGATTTAGTCTCACAGATTGGTGCCTCAAAGAACTTCGAGTTAGTGAACTGTTGCCCACTCAGGATGAAGATGCTACATACGATAATTACAATTATTAAACTACGTGTGATCATCTACAATTTCAATTTCACGGTGGTTCAATCCAATTATTATACATTGGGTTAAAAGTGCATTTTGTCCCCTGAACTTAGGGTCTTTTTTTGTATTTGCCCCGCAAACAAAAACGATGCAGTCATACTTCAACTTGATTATTTGCATCTCTTTCTTTGAAGAAATACGACTTTCATACTTACCACAACAAGGAAAAAAAAAAAAACAGCATCATATCTTTTCCCGTACTAAAAAAGTCTTTCAAAATCACCTGTAAACGATTAAATTCACCCAAAATCGTAACCCCAATTCAAAACCCACTTCCACTTGAAAATTCAAAATAAATATTCACACCCAAAACCAAAAAGAATCAAAAATCAATTCTTGACCACCGAATGAAGCACATTCGGCAAGGTCAAAAATGTCTCCCGGCAAAGGGAGAGGGAAAATGGGTTTGAAGAAATTAGAGAATAGAGAAGTTAAGAGGACGGAAGAGATCTCTGCAGAAGCTAAGCAGAGGGCGAGTTGACGGCAGCGGTGCAGTTAACACAACAGTTTGGGACTTGGGAGATGAGAAGAGGATTTTGAAGTTCAGCCGTCGTCACTGTTATCTGACACCCAATGTTTCAGATCGGACAGCCGCGCACCACCTCTCTTGGCCGCATTTCCACCTCTCTTCGCCGCCGTCCACGGTGTGGCCTGAAATGCTCGACTAGAATCAAAACAAAGACTGCAGGCGTCCATGGTGTGGTGGTGCATTCTTGGTGGACCCGTTAAGTCCAAAAATGGAAGAAGAAATTGGTGGGCGAATCCCAATGACTATATTGTTTTAGCAAAAATTCAAGGAGACGACTCGTGGTGGAGTTATGGCAACATGAATTGTGAAGACGAGCATAACAGATAAATTCCAAAGAGAAGGGGTACGAGAAAAAAAGATAAATAAAAATAGAGAGAGAAGGAAATGATGCAAATACCCTAGCTCAAATAACATGAATGTCACGTGGTGTGAATTCCAGCCATTTTTGGCCAAAAAATGGACTTTTTAGTTGCCGGTGCAACAATTTAGTAAGTTGAGGTATGGTCGTGCAATTTTTTTTTGGGGGGGTAAAGTGTAAAAATGACCTAAGTTCAGGGCGCAAATTGCATTAAACCCTTAATATATTAATAAAAAAAAAAAAGTATAAAATCCTTATGAAGACCAAGAAATATGTATATATATTATGTTGACAAAGAAAGCCGTAGCCATGGGCAACAAGAAGAAGCAGCAACAAATATCCATGCTTAAGATAATTATGATGAACAAAATATGAATGGTTAATATAACACAGATTACCAAACTGGAATATGAGATTCACAGGAGAAAGCTTCCACTTGTAAAGGTTTGTCAAGACTTGTCTAAAACTTTAGCTAACCACAAAAACAATAAATCTAGCTGATAGTATCAGACAAGAAGAATAAACATGTCTCAAATTAAAAGATTGATACATAATTCAGATTATGTTCCAAATACCTGAAACATTACTATCTAAAGATTGATGTATCCAATTCATCACCATGTCAAGAAGACGACGACAACTTCCTATACATACATCTTCATAAACAACAAGATGTCGAGCAAAATTGCATCACCTGTCCTCATGACTATCACATAGTACAGATCTAAATTTCCATTTTCGGGCATTATCCGAAATTTTCTTGTCTAAGTAATTTTTTTTTTCTTTGCAATTCCTAGAAAACATAACTGAAGTAGTGCATTGCACATTATAAATGAGGAACTTCTCTAATATAAGCTATTAAGAAAACACTTTGCTATATCTTATTGTTCATCTTTTCAAATCTCTATTAAAAAAAATCAACCTCAAAAGGCTAGTTCTTTACCTGAAACACCAATTCAAAGTATGCATGGCTAACAATGCACTAATGAGTCTTCGATAATCAATAGAAAGAAATGATCATGTACAATATTATATATGATAACAAGTCATTTTGCTCAAGTTAATAACCTCATGTATGTATGTAACATCAGTCATATAAACACTTCACAAGCATAATGCATATTAGTAGTCAACTTTCATTACTTGCTCTAAGCACAATAACAAGGAAATGTGAGACATAAACGATAAAACAATATTTTTAACTCAATCGTCCAAGAAGCTGAATAATTATTAATCATGTCATAATTTCAAAACATAAGCCAAGAAGCAAGCAATACGATTTTCTATCGGGCATTTAAAAAGGACAAACCAAATTGCTTTTGAGACTATCTGTGTAAGTTAGACTAAGCCTTTGAACTGCGGAAATCCTTCTTCAAATCTTTGACTCTGGCCATACAAGCAGACTTTGTCTTTCCAGGCACGGAAGCAGCAATCTTCTCCCACCGCATAGATACTACATCCTTCGGGAACGTCTTCAATGCATTAAGCAATGCTAAATCCTCAGAAGCACTCCATCCACTCTCTTTTTTCTCTTGTTCAACATTTTCATTTGCATTCAATCCCTCATCAATAACCCTTTTATCAACACTTTTTCTATCTTTAAGAAACTTGTTGTAAGAATCTCGATCACTATTACTAACTCCTTTCATTTCTTTAGCCTTTGTTATCACAGTCTCGATCTTGTGATTCCCTTTGAAACCCTCGGCTATGGCTTCCCATCGTCCAGGCATTCCAACCGGATGTTTCCCCATTAACTTCCTCAATAATTCATCATCAAACTCATTCCACTCCGATGACTTTGTTTTTTCAGTCGCATCTGATTCCGATTCCGATTCCGATTTTGATTTGGATTGTGATTTTGATTTTGATTTATCCACCAAAGATCCATCCTTAATTGTCGATTTCTCGAAATGGACGGCGGCGGGGGCATCTTCGGGTGTTTTCTTTAGGGTTTTGGTTGATTTTCTGTTGAATTTGTCATTGATGATATCAAGAGAAGCATTGGTGGGGATTTGAGTGAGAGGGGGGCCAAGACCGACGCGGATATCACCGGCGGTGAGAGATGAAGGGGCAAAGGGACCGATAACAAGGGAGAAACAGATCCATAAGAGAAGGGATCTGAGGGGTTCGACATTGATGTAAATGAAGCTCAGAATGAAAAACACAGCAAAAATTGAAACACAAATAAAACGGAAGGAAGACGAACAAGGGGAATCGTCTGGGGTTTCTGATTGAGTGAAATGCTGCTGCTTCGATTGGAAAAGGAATCTTGGCTTGCTCTCAAACTCATCTAAGAACTCCATGTTCGATCCTCTCTATTTCACACCCTAATACTCGATTTTTAATTACACTGATTTTTTTTAGAGGAAAGAGCAAATAAAAGTTCTCTCTCAAATAAAATGTACCAAATACCCCTCTCTAAACACACACTACCATTTTTCACTTTTACGCGTTCATGGCTTATGAAAAGACAAAAATACCCCTTTAGTATTTTTACTTTAAGAAAAAACTCGGCCTTTCGGTAGTTTGTTGTTAAATCCAAAGGACTAAAATTGTTTTTTTTTTTAAATAAATATAGAAATTGCAATTTTCCAAAACTTAATTATTTTTTAATTACAAAAACTATTTAATTATAAAAAAAATATGAAATACACTACATAAGTATTTTATGTATGTAAGAGTAGATAAAAATACTTTTTTTTTCTTACTCTCTTTCTATCTCTCGATCTTTCAGTGTCTGTTGATTTTGTAGGGTTTTTGATGTTTCTTCAATTTCCATTAATTTGCACTAATTTTTTATTTTTTTTTATTTTGCAACTGCAGCTTAGTGAAAGATATTGATCCTCTCCTCGAAGGTATCAAAAACTTTTGTTGAAGTTACATTTGCTTCAAGTTATAGTGTTCTACAGACGGTAAACATTATTGTACATTACTATACATTATTAGTTGCATATAGTAACATGTAGACATATGCATATATTTGTGTATTTTCGATTTGTTTTTGTTGGTTATGAGTCGATTTATAATATATATATATATTGAAATTTATGAATTTTTTTTGTTGGGGTTTATGAATTTCTTTTGTATAAGCCAATATTCGTGATTTTACATAATTGATCGACTAAAAATTTGGGGTTAAAAGAAAGAACATCACCACAAATGACTATAATTTACTACAGTTACATGTATAAACATATCGATTTAAAAAAAATTAAAACACAGTTAAAAAAATTTTAAAAATTTAAAAAACAAAACTAATATATATATATATATATATATATATATATATATATATATATATATATATATATATATATATATATATATATTAAACAAACAGGTTTTTAAAAATAAATAAATCAGCGAAAATACTAAATGCAGTACCAGAAATATTGAATGCAATTTGACCGAAATTGCATATAAGGACAATATCGTACTATTCTCTCTGCAGGTGGTACCCACAAAGATGATTTCCCCTTGAATTTATACGTGATTTATTAGGCATTTAGAGGTATAATAAAATAAACCATTTATCTAATCCACATTTGACTTTTTTTACTCAAAAAACAAAAAACAAAACAAAAAAAAAAAACACCTCAAGATGATGATATTACTAATCTCAAGAAAATAAGTTATTAAACTTAGAATAATGCACCCCGAATGAAATTTTAAAGATAATGAAACTAATTTAATATTTTTAGTGGTATTTTTTTTTTATACTAAATGCCAAATCATCTTTTTAATATTCATCAATCATTTTCAAACGACAACGTGCAATAATAAAAATACATCTCATCAGTATATTTAAAAACAAATTCACAAAAAAATAATTTATAAAAAATTAAAGAGAACAAAAATTCTTCAGCTATTGCATTAGTAAGTTTTTTGAAAATTATATTTTCTTCCAAAAATTTCTACCAAGGATCCATCAATCTAATAATTTAGCGAGAAAAGTTACATTTTTTTTTAAAGAAATTATAGTTTCTTTTTCACTAATTCGTTGTGATTCCTTTTTTTTTTTTTCCTGTGAGCTCGAATTTATGTTGGATGTAGAAGAAAACAACAATTTAATATGTTATTTTGCCCCCTGAAAATGAAAAAAGACAATAAAAATTAAATACCATCATTAAGTTTTAAATATTCAATTCAGGGTGCATTGTAAATGATTTATTGTGTTTCAAGGGTGCAAAATGCTATTAATTATTTTCAAGGGTGCAAATTGCAAAAATACTACATTATCAAAGGTGCAAATTGGGATTAAGTCTAACTAGTACTTCACCCGTGCGTTGCACGGATATCAGTTTGAAAATGAGAAAAATAATAACATTTAAACGATTATCTCTTTATAACAACACCAATTCAAGTAAAACAAAATGGAAAGAAATAAAAAAAAATTATCTCTTAATTCAGAGTTGTAACATATGAAATTCAATTAAATATGACAAAGAAAAATACGCGAAAGACGCAAAGCACGATATGAAGATTAAGTGATATAATTTAAAACATATGGTATAATTCTATTTCATGGAATGCAATCTACTACACCATGTGAATCCTCTACAAAATAACTAACTTAATAACAAACACAGTAGCATGGAGGTAAGACAATAGATATTCAAATAACCTGCAAGTTTATCACTAACAACATTCAATCAGTGATGCACATTAATCAACAACAACACAACTTATAAATATTGCAAAAGAGATAAGATGTATACGCCAATACCAATAATAATATCAATACTGATATCAACATTGATACTAATAATGATATTAATAATGATACTAACTAATACTAATACTAATACTAATATCAATACTAATACTAATAATAATACGAATACTAATACTATTAATATTAATAATAATACTAATAATAATACTAATAATAATAATACTAATATTGATAGTAATAATAATAGTATTACTGATATTAATATTGATACTAATACTAATATTGATACTCGTACTACGGGTACTCATACTGATACTAATTCTAATACTAATATTAATACTAATACTAATACTAATACTAATACTACTACTAATATTAATACTAATACTAATACTATAATACTAATACTAATACTAATACTAATACTAATACTAATACTAATACTAATACTAATACTTACTGATATTGATAAAAATATTGATACTGATACTGACACTGGCACTCACACTGATACTGGTACTGATATTGATACTGATGTTAATAATGATACTGATGTTGATAGTCATATTGATACTCATAGTAATATTAATATTAATATTAATACTGATACTAATATTGTTACTCATACTGATATAATGCTGATAAAAATACTAATACTTATACTAATAATACTGATATTAAAATTAAAATTGATACTAATACTGTTACTGATACTCATATTGATATTAATATTGATACTCATACTGTTACTGATACTTAAACTGATACCGATACTGATACTCATACTGATATTGATATTGATACCGATACTGATACTTATACTGATACTTATACTGATACTGGTACTGATATCGATACTAATATTGATACGGATACTTATACTGATATTAATACTAATATTAGTACTAATACTAATACTATTACTTATAGTAATATTAATACTACTATTGATACTAATACTATTACTAATACTATGCTAAAACTAATTTTAATGCTAATGATCTAATGCTAATGATACATAGCACATATACATATACTGGTACTGATACTGATACCGATGCCGATATTGATACTGATAATGATACCGATACCGATACCGATACCGATACTGATATTGATACTGATACGGATACCGAAATTGATAATGATACTGATACTGGTACTCATATTGGTACTGATACATATTGTGGTACTGATACTAATACTGATACTTATAATGATACTGATAATAATATTGATACGGATACTTATACTTATGTTAATACTAATATTTGTACTAATACTAATACTAATACTAATACTAATACTAATACTAATACTAATACTAATACTAATTCTAATACTAATACTAATACTAATACTAATACTAATACTAATACTAATACTAATATTAATACTAATACTAATACCAATACTAATACCAATACTAATACTATTACTAATACTAATATTAATACTAATACTATTACTAATACTAATATGTTAATATTGTTAATGTTAATGCTAATACTAATTTTGATGCTAATGTTAATATAGATATGCTAATTATAATATGCTAATTGCTAATTAGTTGTAATACTAATACTAATTCAAAGAATATTAGTTATAATCACAATTCTAATGCTAATACGAATCACAATGCCAATACTGATCTTGTATCAATGTGTTTTTGCAATTATCTATTATTTTGAATAAAAAACAATTATATTCAATCTCGCAACCTTTATATCAACTTACTTATCTATGGTAGCTGAAGCATCCAAAAACACATATTAAATATATTAGAAATTAATATTTAATTATATTATCAAACTGACATTAAAATTATTTAAAATATTATAAGGGTATAAGCAAACATTAAAACGTAAAAATAAAAATAATCGTTGTTAATAGGATAAATTATGAAAATCCTCCTAAACTTTGGCTAATTACTTGTGGAAAACACCCCTATTCGGTAATTATCGAAATTTCCCTGATGTTTGTTTCTATTTTACACGACGCCCTTAAGGTGTGTTTTGTTACGGAATCTTTTTTAGTCCATGTAATATCCCAAAAGAATGTGGATTCTATCATTGTAGACGTTATTTTATTCTACTTTTTTTAAATACAAATATTATCCTTAAGGGAGGTAAAGGTAATATTAAAAAGTTGTGAAGGTGTTATTCATGTATTCCAATATCAAAATATAGTGAGATATATACGGTGTTAAAATATTTAGGGGTAATATGCTATGAGTCCCTCAAATCAAACCTAATTTGAACTAAATGACAAGTCTAAATTCAATCTTTTAATTAAATCCTCAACTTGAAATAATATATGACTCACATCCCTAACTTTTTTTTAATCCCTATCTTGCCCTTATTCCTTAAATATTATAACTTACATATACCACGTTTCTCATCTCAGATTTATTTCTCTTCTTCCATCTTCTCTCTCGCTTTTTCCACTCGTCTTCTTTATATCGATCTCTCTCCTCTCTCTTTTTCTCTTACATCTCTATCTTGCTTCTCCATCAAGCACAAAGGTCGGCGACCGAGAGAGCAGGAGTGGAGCGACGGAGGAAGTGGTTGAGGCGGCAGCGGCGGGGTATTGTATGGCGGAGAAACAGGTTTTTCTTTTCTTTTTTTTTTTATAAGATTTGCTAATTTTTTTCGTTTTTTTGTACAGATCTGTGATTAAAAGTAT